TAGTTTTCTTAAGGTTTTTCCCAAAAAGATTTCTGAGGAGATATTTGTCTAGGCATGCTCTTCCAAAGCTAGTTGTTTGCATATGGAGCTGTAATCAGTACTATTTCTTTTAGTCTTTCTGCTAGCAGCAAAAATGAAGTAGCAAATAACTTTTAATGACTGATTAGAATGTGGAAACCAGAGAAAATACAGGGTAGATAGCCTAGAGGGAAAAAAAACTGGTGATAGTTGCCGTCATGAATGTTGTAGCTTCCTTTTGGATGCTTGTTTAGGGTGTGCTAGAATGTATCTTTTGCCCAAATACACCTTAGACAGGTGCAGCTAAAGCATCAGTACCTGCTTTGTAAAACAATTCATATTTACAAATGTATTTATATTATATATTATATATGTATGTAGCTCTTTTTATAGCTAGCTTTATTGTGTACTTATTGTGAGTTAGTGCTGTGATTAACATATGATAAGCAAAGCTCTCAATTTACAAAACAACTCCATAAGGCAGAAAATACATTACTTGGGGCTTCCCTGGTGGCGCAGTGGTTAAGAGTCTGCTTCCTAATGCAGGGGACACGGGTTCGAGCCCTGGTCCAGGAGGATCCCGCATGCTGTGGAGCAACTAAGCCCATGAGCCACAACTGAAGCCCGCGCACCTAGAGCCCGTGCTTTGTAACCAGAGAGGCCACTGCAGTGAGAGGCCAGCGCACGGCTGTGAAGAGTAGCCCCCGCTCACTGCAACTGGAGAAAGACTGTGCGCAGCAATGAAGACCCAATGCGGCCAAAAATAAATAAATAAAAATTAAAAAAAAAAGAAAATACATTACTTACATACAAGAAGCATCTTGCCCAAACTCACATAGTCACTCAGCTAATCTTTAATGACCTGTACTATGTGTCAGATATATGTTGTAGGAGCTACAGATACATCAGTGAATAAAACAGAGAAGATCCCTGCCATCTTAGAGCGCAAATTCAAATGGAGGGAGGCAGACCATAAACAAAAAGCAAGAAAATACCAGTTAGTGATAAGGGCTATGAAGAAATAAAATAGTGATGTGATAGTGAGTATCTGGGGGTACAGTGCTGGTTTCATGGGTGAGCAATCAGTGCAGCTACACAGGGCCCTGTGCTTAGAGGGACCCTACTTTTGTTTAATGCCCTGCTAGCACTGTCTTGAAATTCTCAATAATTTTATCTTTGGATTTGTTTTGTAAAGGAGGTCTGATAAGACAGTGGAGCATGTGGGTAAGTAGAGGACATATGTGCAATGCCCATAACCTGCATTCCTTGGTACACCATTCTCATAGCTTTTGTGATGCCCTGTGAGCACAGAATCTTGGTTGATGCACGATGTATGGAAGTTAAGTAAGATTCAAAGCCAGGACAAGTACGAGGTAAACGTGTTACATCTATTACTGACTAAGCAGGGATGCTGACACCTTGAGAGGCCATGCTTCCTCTCAAACCAGAACTTGCTTCAAATGCAAAAGAAGGCAATAGCATTCTAAGAAGCACATTGAACAAGAACCCTATCTTATTTCTTATTTACACTTCCCTGTAGCTGCCAACCACCGACTCTGAAAATGATGACATAAAATGTAAAGAAAGACAGGGAAAGGTAGTTCCTCTTCCTTTCAGTTCTTCCTTATTCATCTGCAAGCCAAAGGTGAGAAATTGTTAGTAGAATGTAGGTATATCAAGAAGTAAAATAAAAACAGTTGAGTTAGTTTTGTGTAATGTTTCCATGGTTCAGTTAAGAATCAGATTCACATGCATGTATGAACTACACAACAGGAATTGTATAATTTATAATTCCACATATGTGTTAAGTGCTTTTCTATTCATACTTAAAGCTGGCATTGAACAATAAAAGATGAATGGTAAAATTATGCCAATAATTAAAATTTTTAATTTTTCTCTATGGAAAATGACATTAAATAGTGTTTTTACTTACTATTCAATGGGAGAGCTCAGAAGAAAGGAAAAAGCTTTTTATTTTAGTATCTTTAACTACATTACTATATTGCTTTCATAATAAGACACTGCATTTTTACTTTGCGCTGGGCCATGCAAATCATGTGAGCTGGCCTTATGGGAGTGCTACTTTAGATTGAATTATCAGGAGAGGTCCCTCTGAGGAGATTGCATTTAAACTGATACCTAAAAGACCAAAAGAAGCCAACTATGGGAAGATTCAGGGAAAGAACATTCCAGGTAGAGGGACTAGTTAGTGGGAATGTCCTAAGGCAGGAAAAAACTTTGTTTTCAAGAAACAGAAAGAAGGCCAGTTTCACTGAAAAGTAGCTGTTAAAACTTGGAGTGGCAAAAGATAAGGTTAGAGTTTGGAGAGGCCAGAGTGTGAAGAGCCTTAAAATCCAGAATTTATTCTACTTGTTTTAGTTAGCCATTGGAAAGTTTCAGGCAGAGGAATAACATAAATGACTTATGTTTTAAAAGATCACTCTTTTGCAGTGTGGATGCAAGAGTGGACTCAGGGAGATCATCCTGAGTGGTCTATACCTAAAGAATTCCTCACCCTTCCAGATGGAATTTATCAAACTCTTGTCATAATTTCTATTATTGCACTTACGGATTTTCAAATTTGTCTCCCTGAACTAGACTGTAAGACACTCTTAATTCTCTCCATGTCACTAGTGTCCAGCAGTTTGCATATTGCAGCTGCTTATTAAATATTTATTGAGTGAATAATTGGGAAAGGATCTTTTGCTCTTATGGTAAAAGCTCTTTCCTCAGAATTTTCTTCAAGTTAAGATAATTAATTAATTAGGTGAAACATAAGGAAAGGGGTTATAGCAGCCATAAGGAATCTGAAGTAAATACAAAATATACAGTTGATTTATAAATTTTGAAATTTGGGAGAAAAATACTGAGTCATCAACAGGAATTTGAATTTTTATACTAACTGCTTGAACCCATGTGCAACACGTACCCAAAGACACAGCTATTATTGGTGCTAATGTTTTGGCCAGATGTTCCAGACTGATGGCTTGGGATTGAAGTTGGCCTGAGACATATTTTAATTGGTTTGCATGGTATGTAAATATGGTGCTGAATTAGTTATTGATATTTAAAACTAAGGAATTTTCACATAAAAGTCTGACTTTTCTCTATTTCTTGAGAAGTAACAAACATACAAGCAAACAAAAAGCTTGGAGGCATTGGGTCTGCATTCCAGCTGGCCACAGCCAAGGAGGGCCACTGCCTTTGCAAGAAGCCTATGTTCTCTATTTTATCACAGTCCTCAATCTGCCTGCTCCACTCACTTAAATTACCTGCCTGGATTCTGGTGGCATTTGTGTTTGTGACAGCTCCTACTGAAACATGTATGTACTAGTACTATTCTAAATGAGAATTTTTAAAATATAATACGTTCTTAAATTATACATATTTCTCTTTAGTTTTCTTCCTAAGTTTGCTTGGCTTTACTTGCCTTCCTTGTAGCTTTTATCAATTCGAGAACCAAGGTGGCCAGTCCAGATCTACCCAGATGTGGGACTGCCAGGGAAGGAGGAAATGGTGTTTTGATTTGCTGATAGACAAATACTGAGGAAGAGGAGATTCTCCAGAGGGCAGGAGAGCTTTGCCACCAATTTGATCTGCAGAAGGTATTCACCATCTCTGCTCTCTTTACCTCCTAGTTACGTCTGTTAAGACTCAGGAGTATTGAGGTTAAGGGATGGAATAAATTTAAAACTTCTATAATTATATATCACACAAGCCTTCACTTAAGATCATTAAACACTTCTTGTTTGTCCCAATCTGTGCTGCTGTATCTCTGCTGATAAGGATGATTACGTGTGCCATTTTAGATTGTAGGTACTTGGGACAGTGTCTTTATTTGGATGGTGCCATTTAATGTATTATACTATTTTGTAGGAACCCACATGTTTATTTAGAGAAATGTATGGGGCAGCCCACAAAAGATACTCTGTGGCAAAGCTAATAAAGGCTGTTTCCACAGAGCTATCTAAAGGAATGGGGAAGCACAATAGCCATAAGCAGAAACCACAATGGGTCAATGTTGATAGAATCCCTGGATTGGGAGGTGCTTTTTGAAGGCCAGAAGGGAAAGAAAGTCCGTTGAGAAGGATTTACTACACAGCAGGTCTTGGTGGATATTCAGTTCTGGGAACTCTTGGCAGTACCAGGGTGCAGTTCATTTACCAGTGTACAAATGGTTTAACAGAAAGGCATTCAAGATTCCATCATTTCTATAGCCCACACGGGCTGGTAAATGGGCGATGGACTGCAGAACCCAGCTGCTCAGAGGCAGTGGCCAAATCCGGTAGCCGGTTTAGTATGAATGACTGACTCCTGGGAAGGAGAACGTTCATAGGGGGCTGGGGATAGGGGTCAGAGTCCAAGCTGGAGAGAGGACAATAAGCTAAGGGTGGAAACAAAGGCGAACCAGAGCGGCAGCTGGCAGATTGCTGGCGCTGCGCTGGGGAATCAAGCTTTGCTTTTAGAAAAGAGGCAGGCTGCAGCAGGGCGGGCTCTAGCCGCGGCATGCTCACAGAAGAGCCTGCAAGGTCGCAGGGCTCGTCGCCCGGAGGCGTGGGCAGCTAGCGGCCGGCGTCCCTCCCCCCGCGCGCCTCCGGGCCAGCAGCGCCTGGCAGTGCCCGCCTAGGGCAGGGCGGGGCGCAGGCCGGGCAGCGCTAGGTGGGGCCGGCAGCTAGGCCGCCCTTGACACAGTGCGGGGCCAGCCGCCCGGAGAGCCACGGCGGGTGTGGCGCGTTCAGCCCGGCCGCCCGCAGGCCGCGTCCCCATCAGAGGGGGCAGGGCGCACTCGCCCGTCCAGCAGGAGGCCGCTGAGCGGCCTGCTGGCTCCGCCGCCGCCGCGCTAGCCATTCAGCGCGCCGCGTCTCCGCCCCAGTGCTGGGGGCTGAGCTGGGGAGAAGGGGCGGGCACCCGCGAGCGGTGAATCACCTCCTCCTCCTTCTGCCTCAGCGCTGCTGCCGCCACCTTTCCATTCAGTCGCCCAACATGGCTGGAGCGCGGCGGAGGTGAGCCGTCCGCCGCCTGCAGCTCCAGCCTCCTGCGCGCGACCGCCGCGGCTCCGGCGGCGCCTCAGTTCTGCGGTGCAGAGGCCCAGGGGCCCGGCTGTTGCTCGCCGCCGGCATGTGGGGCGCCCCGGACGAGAGCTCTGTGCGGGTGGCTGTCAGGTGAGGACGGACGCGGCGGCGGGCGGGCTGCGGGCGCGGCGAGGATCTGCTCTGGCCCGGGGCACTGGCCGCCGCGCTGTGGAGATCTGAGAGGTGGCCTGGCGGGGTCCCGGCGGCTCTGGAAACCGAGGCGGCGGGTCTCCGCCGGCCTGGCGCGCGCGGCCGAGTGCTGGCTGGGAAACCTCCCGCCCTCGGGCCCCGGGAGTTTGCAGGTGACTGGCAGCTGCGCGGCGCCGGGTCCCGGGGGCGCCTGACTCCTCTAGGGGGAGAAGACGTGGCCGCCCGCCCCAGCCGGGTCGCGCACCCGAGGAACAGTTTCCTCAGGTTCGGCCGCCTTCGGCGATCGCCTGTCTGGCTTTGCCCGGAGGAGCTGCCCCTCTCCTGGGCTGTGGTTCTCTTCTTATTTTTGTAGCGTGACTGTCTTGACGTGTACCTGCAACTCCGGCCTTCGGAGGCAGGAGACAAAGCCTTACAACGGTGGGGGTCTAGATTTCTGTGCAAATGGACGTCTCGTTAAGCATCGGCGGGGACTAGATAGCACCAGCGTGTGGGTATTGAAGACATTTCTGGCGTTGGAAGGGATATTATATTTAAGGGAAAATTCCCTGGTGCTAGGTCTGTAGAAGGAAGAAAACCCCTCAGCAAGTGTAAGGGTGACTGGGTGAAAAAGAAACATACTGAGGTTCAGCAGGGTGGTTAC